AGGATCAAGTCCTCGGTCAGTCGCACATTTGTCTTTTCCAACTCCTGTGGCGCAGTCAGACCATTGGCGAGGGCGACGCAGTATCACCTGATCTGTCAAGGGCGCTCTCAACGCGACTGTACTGGCTATCTCCACCGGAACTTGTTGCGGTGCGTCTCGCAGGGGCATGTCCCGGCTGGCATTGTCAACGTTGCCGTCGGACGTGTACTTCTGAAGTTGAGCGGCCAATCTGGTGTTCTCGTCGTGCAACTTGGTCCTTGTCGTATTGAGCTCCTGTCGCTGTGGTGAGAACAAGTCGAGATCTTGCAATTGCAGTGTATACCAAGGCATTGGCGAGGGTCGCCGCAAGCTGGGCTTCCGTTTGCTGCAGTTTGTCGTTGGCTTGGTCCAATTGAGACTTAAGTTGAACCAACTCGTATGCTCCTTCGACAACCTGATGCTCCAGCTGAATCTGCCGAACGTTGGCGTCGGTGGCAGCCCTGACCAATGCTGCCATCTTTTCTGTTAGTGTCCGTGTGTTGAGCGCCATTTGTTGGCGAAGAGTGTCTTCGTCCTGGAGGGGAATGAGATGATGGTAGAAATGGGAACCGTCGTACTATATCCTCGGAGCTGTTCAACCCCACTTGGTCGCTGGGCTGGCTACTTAATTGTTGCTGTATGCTGAGCAATTCTGAAGTAAGAGTTGAGACATGATCGCTGGTGGAATTTGTGTGCTCTGCGATTTCGCATGTAACGTTAGTAGTCATGAGCCCAGTTTTTTCCAGCAGGGCCACTTGTGCCCGCAGCCGAACGTTAGCCTGCGCCACTTCACCGCAACTAGCTTCGGCATCCTAGTTATGTGCGAAGTGAGGAAGTGGGAATTGAGGGAGCCGGCGAGTGTAACGTACAGCAAGCTTTTGCTGCAGCGTCTCCACTTGCTTTGCGTTGGTTTTCACTTCGCTTTGACTGATCTCGAGTTGAGATTTCAGCGACAGGATCTCGATGTTCTTGGAGGAAAGTTGAGATGACAAGTCCAGCTCACTAAGATGGACGTCATGGATGGCCTTCTTGGACTCGGCGACTCTCTGGGCCAGCACAGCGTTGTCCTTCTTCAGTTGCATCTTCATTGTTTCTTCCGCCTGAGGAGTACGTCCTTGAGCCTCATGAGCCTCATTGCACAATATGGAACGAACCAGCACGACGACCTCCTTCACAGCGATGCGCTCTTGTACTTGATCGAGGCGAAGTTGCATTTGCTGCAACTCTGATCCAAGCTCGACCACCTGCTGTGACCTCTCGGTCAGCTGGCTGTCCAATTCCGCCTCGACTTGCTTGGACACCAACTGGCTCTGTTTTATCATGTGGAGCTCGTCCGCAAGCGTCGCGTGCGCTTGTACGAGTTGTTCTCGAACGTCTTCGAGCTCCTACACCTACTGTCAGAGTGCCATAGGACGCCAAAAATGACAAACCTCAACCGTAGCCGACTTTTCCTTAAGCGCTTGTCGCGCCATTTGCAATTCTCGAGTCACTTCGCCCAAACGGAGTTGGTCGACTTGACGCTGGTTTGTCAGGGCGCGGATTTCCGTCTCGCAGTTGGTCAAGGTTTCGTCCATCGCCACCTCCCTTGCCTTGCTCTCTTCCAAGCACGTCGTCAACGTGACGACCTTTTCACGCAACGTGCTGTTGTCAATGTTCGTTTGGGTTTTAAACTGTTCGAACGTCTGCAAATGAATTGAGTCGCGTCAACGTGTTCGTTTTTCAGTACCTCGGCAGACTTGTTGTGGCGTTTTACTTCAGCCGCCGTCTGCGCCAGTTGCGCTTGGACATTGTGGAGCTGCGCCTCCAACACCGCAATCTGGGCGTCACTCGCGGACTTTTGGGCCTCCAAGGCCAACGCGAGTTCCTTTTCTTTGGAATCGGCCAACACCGATTCCATTCGCCGCATGTTCTCCTTGAGTTGGAAGCATTCTTCCTTGTACTCATTGTTCATGGCTTCTAGAATCTATGGTGGCAATACAAAGGCGGCGAATTTCTAAAATACCGGGATAAAGCTGGAAACATACCGTCAGTTGATTCGACTGGGCCAAATGCGATCGAGTCGCTTCGTCTAGCTCCAAGCGCAAGGTAGCCAAGGTATTGTTTAACTCGGCTGCTTTGCCTTCCGCGTTCAGCCGACTGGCCTCCAAGTCGACCACTGATGCATGGAGCGCTGCAACATCCACTTCTTGCTCTTGGAGTTTGTTCGACATACCCCATTGAATCCCTTCAAGCTCCTAAATGGCCGTTGTTTGATTAACCACGGCAGTACATAGTGAAATCGACGTCATACCGTGGCATACATCGATTGGGACTCAAGTTGTTCGTGCGTTGCGGCCAGCACAAGACGAAGCGCGTTCAGATCAGCTGTGAGCTCGGTGACTTGACACATTTGCATCGCAATTTCGCGCTCGTGCAATAGCTCCAAGGCTTCGAACTGAGTCATGAGGGCATCGTTCTCATCTGTCAGCTTTGCGTTGTACACTTCCAATTCCTGTGTCGCCACCGGCATCGTCATCGAGAAATCCGCAAGGAAGGTTCCCACGTACTGAAATTTGCGCCGTCTTGAGGCAGATGTCGTGCTGGGCGTCGTTCATCTTGTTCTGAAGCGCATCTACTTCGCTCACAAACGCATCGACTCGCTGGTTACTTTCCAAGACGAGCGTTGCATTGTGCTCTTTCGACAGCGCAAACATTTGGTCGAGCTCTTCGCATTTTTGCTCGAGTTCTTTGGACGATGCAGCCAATGCTTCGTTGGTAGTTTCAAGTCGTTGAATAAGACTAGCTTGGACGGTTCGATCTGATATGGCATGGTCTAGTTGTTGTTGGAGGGATTGTAGGTTCCTGGCCATTTCGTCGACCTGAGCGTCTTTCGCCGACAGGTTCAATGCATCCGTTTGCGCTTTTAGCTCCAGCGCTTCGACTGTCTGTGCAAGTGCCGCTTCCTTGGCGGCCCACGATACCGCCATCAGTTCGACCGACGCGATTTTTTCCGTCATTTGAGCATTGGCCTTGGTCAGTCGGTCGTTGTCGACCATCAGGTGGGATACGCTTCGTTCCAAGCCCATCACGTGGGCTCGGCGATACATGGCCAAGAAGCATATGTTCACCTTAGTGGTCATGCGGATGCGAGCCCACCGCATGCACGCACGATGTCGCTCGACCATCTTTTGAAAGTGTTTCGTCGCCATCACCCGACGAAACTAGAGAGATGGTCAGAACGACTGTTTGGGGAAGTGCTAAGTAAAGGTGGCACCTGCGATTGAAGTTTCACCGCAGCACGTTGGCGTTGAACTTTCTCGAGCAAGGAAGAAAACGCGCGCTTGGCCAGATATGCCACGCACGCCGCCCGTCCGAGCTTGCGAACGTACATTGCCCGCTGTAATGGACCCAGCCACGTGAGGAGCCACTTGGCGTGTGGCGGCAGTGTCTTGTGCTGCAACAATACGTTCAACAGCTCGAGTTTGTCCTCAACGCTTCGATCGAAAGCCGCGCGCACTTGCAATTTGTAGACCACGACGTTCCACATGCGCGACACACGATTCAGCGTGCGCATTTTGGCGACGTGCATCTTGGCCAACTGCTGGCGGAACCAACACTGCAGCACGATTGCACACCGGCCTTGACGACAGTTCCAATACAAGTTCTCGTACGCTCGAAGCACCACAACCTTGGTTGCGGCACTGACCCACCGCGACTTGGCTAGGTACGACACGAGGCGTTCCTTGAGCGTCGCTGGGGGGAGGGGCGGCGTGACAGCCAAGACACTGTCGAGTAGGTGAATCTTCCCTATAGGGAGCGTGTAAGCACGTTCTAGCCACTAATTGCACCCAACCCGTCTTGAAGAAGAGTCGCGTATCACCAAGCCGGAACGCATCGGTCGGAAAGTCCAAGACGTTGCACAGTGCTTGGGTAAAGAATCGATCGTTGTCACGAAAACGCTCCATGAACGACTGGCCGAGAAAGTCCGAGTAGATGAACACGAGTTCTTCGTACGACACACGGGTCGGCAGCCCCACTTGGAGGACTTGGCACGCTTGGATGGTTCCCGAGCATCGCAATTGTTCGAGGACGCTCTGTCGGTCAAACACGTTCACGTCCATGGCAGGGTTCGGCTTGATGCAACGAATAAAGTTGTTGCGCGTCGAGTCAAGCTCGACGACGAGGCCTTTCATTTGATGCGCAAACATCTCAGACACACTTCCTGGTGGCGTTCTCGACGGCGCGTACGATGCCGACAAATTCAAGAGGTGCAGCGTCGACCCAGCGATGAGTTCCTTGAACTGGGGTGACGCAACGTTGTTATTCTTTTCAATAAAACCCTCAACGTGGTACCGCACGACGCCGGCGTAGTGCTTGATGCAGAACATGTGGGGGACGTCGCGAGGGTGGGGTACGACAAAGCTAGCCACACGCATGATGCGTGACAAAGGGTAGGCAAAGAGGGGGGGCGGGAGACGTACCAAGGGTGCTTTTTGAATGCGGTGTGGAGCTTTTCATTGAATTTCCGGTCTGATTGACCAGCCAAACGCCCTGCCATGTTGAGAAGACTCAAGATGCCTTCCCGGCGGTCGGCAATCAAGGTCAGACACTCCCGGTTGTCGTCGTACGAGACGGCCGCCTTGGTCGAGTCGTTGTGGCTACAATCGGTTTCAGTCCCACGTATCGAAACTAGATCAAGTTGCGATTCCGTACAGTTTTGGCGCAGCTATGACGGCGTCAGCGGGAACTCGGACAAATGGGAAGAGAAGCGACGCGTTTTGAGGGGCCCAAATGTTCTCGGCTTGGTATAGTTCCTGTTCAGCTTTGAGAATGCACTGGTTGAACATGCTCTGCAGCGCTTCGTTGGCGTAGTTGATGAGAAGTTGCTCGAACGAGTTTTGGTTCTTCGGCTCGAAGTCTTCAAACCCAAATATATCGAGCACGCCAATATATGGTAGTTCTTCCCTCAGCGCGACGTTGTACTCCAAGATTTCGGCGCATTGGAACATTAGAGCGGTAAAGACCTTCATCAATGCATAAACGCTCGTTGCCCATCCAACTAACAAACGCCGTACCTGTTCAAAGATCATCTTGGCCACCGTGTCTCGCGAATACGATGCCTGCTGCTTCGTTTTTCCGACAAAGTAGACCGACCCGCGTCGTTGGAATGACCCTTTCGTACGCTCTATTTTCTTCTTGAGCAGCGCGTCGATTAAATCGGCGACCTTGATGCCAAGCAAGTCGGCAATGACATCGATTGCGGCCTCCGGGGCATCTTCGCGATGGATCAGTGCCGTCAATCCTTCTGCCGTGTCCTCTTCGTCAAAACGCAAATTGCCAAGATGCAGCACCCCCGCCACGATTCGAAACAGTTCAACTGCGTTAATGTCGGCGAACGCGAGCGCGTCTTTGAGATTCTGAAAGTTCACGCAGTCGTTGACAAATGGACTGGAGGTACACCCCGAACGATTCAAGTAGTGGTATTGTTCGAGCCACGCGTCGCAGTTCGTGAGGCGGTCGGCGTCCTTGGACATGTACGGATTCGGAATCAACTTAAGATCGTGCAGAAGTTTGGCGTCCCCGGATCGGAGCAGTTCATAAAACACGTGGAAGTTGCGCTCGCCGGCGGGGGGGTGCACCACCCGCGACGTTTCAAGCAAGTACGTGTCGATGGACGCGCCAGTCAAGTGCAGCGCATTGCTTGTGAGGTCGGCATCCGGTGAAAACTGGAGCCGCATGTACTTGCCGAACCGACTCGAGTTGTGATTGCGGTGCGTTTTGGCGTTCCCAAACGATTCCAAAATTGGGATCGTCTTCATGAGGCGCTCTCCCAGGCTGTGCTCCATGCCGCCCCGCTCTGGATGCTCGTCTTCATCGTCTTGGTTCGACCGTGGCAACGGTACTCCCGCGCTACCCCCCGTGAATTTCGACCGCTCGGTCAAGAAATCCAAGATGATTTTCGACGTTTCTGTTTTGCCAGACCCGCTTTCGCCGCTGATGATGATCGATTGATTCTGTTTGACCGTGCGCAGTTGTCGATACGCATTCTAGCAACATACACGTTCAAAATGGAGGAAAACGTCCGCGTCAGTGCTGCACCTCAGCGACGTTGTATGGATGGGGCGGTGATTTGTCCAGCGACTGCGTCGCAAACATAGCTTTCTCGAGCCTCTTCAAGTACCGCAGCGGATTGACGGCGATCAAGACGTTTGACATGGACGTGTATGGCTGCCGATCAGTCGAGATCCATCGGTCATACAGGTTTTTAAGCAATGCTGCCTCGTGGAGGTAGCGCAGCGACGTCATGTCAGGGCATGTTCTACGTATCGTCGAACGTGTTGATTAAGTGCTAAGGTTATGAAAGTACGTACGTGAAGAGCGGGTTTGCAGGGCATAGTGTCATTGTGTGGAGCTGCACGGACTCTGTTTGATTCGGCATGCGACTTCCTGTCCGCTCGTCGATGAGGGCGCACGTGCCGACGCTTTCTGCGACATTGACACTCGTCAGCTTGACGAGCACCCAGTCGTCGGACGCTTCATTATCCTTCTTCCAGTACAGGTCGTTCACTCGGTAGATACTGTCCATGACAAGATCGCCGTCCATGACTCTTGTCGAGCTGTGTCGGTGCAGGCGGGACGCGATCCTCGTGTGAGCGAGCGTTGGGTACTTGATGTGGATGCCACGGCGCTGGTGGGTGAACACGATTAAACGTATCTTTGTGGGTAAAAACCTCCTTCAAGATGTTCGAAGCACCAATCAGAGCGCGACATTCTGTCGTAGTATTACTAATAATTTCATTCGCGTCGTGCGATTCATTCGATTGAAGTATGGCACTAGGCACATGTTGACTCGACGCGTGGTTCTATCAACAAAATACCTATAAAACGTACATGCTGTGGGCGTTCGTCCCGCAGCACAGTTCCTCCTTTCTTGGCAACTTCGCCCAAAATTCCACCGATCGCATGCGAGTTTGCGATGGGGCGGCACACGAGATCACGCGACGGTGCAGTATTGTTTAGCCAAACTCGGGGGACGAATGTTTGTCGGTCGTGTGCGGAATCTTCATCACCCAGCAACAGCACCGTGCATCTGGCCGTTCAAAGCAGAGTCAGCCACATACTACGACACCGGGCGTAGGTCCCGATTGCTACATGTACATGTCCGTTCCACACGCGAGTTGAATGCCAGTGGCTTGATTCAAAAGAGTGTCGCCGCACTGATGAGTGGAATCCCTTCACGCCATACAGTCCCTTGCGAGCTCACTGTAAACCGAGCAAATGAGGGATGGTGCACCATGGGGATCGAGTCCAACCGGTCGATTTGTGTGTGACGCTTCCGTCGTGTGGGAGCTGTGAGACAAGAGTAATAGTATTACTAATTTTAGCGGTGTCTACTATTAGTAATGTTTAGTAATTGAATTTGTCACCGATTCCACGAAGATTATTTCTCAAGATCGTCCAACGAATGGAAATATTTCTCACGATCGTCCAGGTTGAACGTTCGGGACGTATTTTTATTCCAAATCATCCACCGCGGCATGATTGGCTAAAAGTCTCATGACCCTGAGGATGCGGAATGCCTAGCATGATGGACCGGGTGTACATGAGTACAGATCGAAAGTCGCTGAGTCATACCGCTCGGTGGCTGTCGCGACCGTTGCGGTGTTGTGGATGGCGGGTGCGGTCGGTGGTTGCAAGGGGCCGCTGAAATTCTGCAATGGAGAGGACTAAAAACCAAAACATCTCTGCGTGACTTACTTCCAAGGTGTCAAGCGGATGAGATTTTTAGCCAATCATGCCGCAGTAGACGATTTGGAATAAAAATACGTCCCGAACGTTCAACTTGGACGATCGTGAGAAATATTTCCATTCGTTGGACGATCTTGAGAAATACCCTTTCACGAACCGGTCGACGGTCACAACACGCAGTTGAATTCCGGTGGCAGCCCAAGCGAGACTCGAGCGGCATATGACTGAAACAGCGCCGAGCCAGCTTTGTGTGGGGCATCTCTATTGGGCCCAAACGAAGCCCAATGAATGGACACTCACCCGGCTTTCTTCCTTCGATGCGTCATCGGCATCTGCCGTGTTCGAAATCGTCGATGAATTTACTGACGCCGCCGTCCCTGGGTCCGATCAACTCACGGTGGACACGACCACTTGCGCGGTCTGCCCGGCAAACCCTCTTTTCGTGTACTGAGTGTCGAACCCTCCATGTGACGTGATCTCAAATGCTCTGGTCACTAGGACAAGGTCAGACATGACCGCAATGCGGTACTTGCACGAAGCTGCTGTGGTGAAAAACCTCCACGATCGATGGATCGCCGATGATCGGCAACCATACACGTCCATGTCGAATGTCCTCATCGCCGTGAACCCGCTGCGGTACTTGGCGGCTGTGGACAAGTCCATGTATGTTCGCCAGTCGTTGGACAAGTCGCCTCCTCACCCCTTCCACGTTGCCGAAGTACGCGCATCTACGGCCTCCAGTGCAACGAACACCATCTGACGTCCCCCTTAGAATGCCTACCGGCAGCTGCGATCCATGCGGCAGAACCAGTCGATTGTCATCAGTGGCGAGAGCGGATCCGGCAAGACTGAAACGTCAAAGATCATCTTAGAGTTTCTAACCGATCGATCCTCACTGGACGACTACAACGCGACGGCTTCAGTCCTTACGGACAGCCACGCCCGCGAGCAAGCTCTTGGCGACCGACTCATGGATACGATTCCAATTCTCGAATCGTTTGGAAACGCCACGACCCACCGCAACCACAACTCAAGTCGGTTCGGCAAGTACATGCGGCTCCAATTTACGCCGGACACGAGCGGCTCGGATTCGGCGCTGCACTTAGCCGGCGCGTCCATCGACACGTATTTGCTGGAAACCACCCGTGTTGTGTTGCCGCCGGCCGGCGAGCGGAACTTTCACGTGTTCTATGAACTGCTCCGGTGTGGCGACGCATCGCTTCTCAACGAACTCAAACTTGTTCCGAATCCGTACGCCAAGGTTGAAAAAGCCCGACAGAACGATGTGGAGGCGTGGATTGACGAATACCAGTACCTGAATCTATCTGGTTGTACTTCGAATCTGTTCCTTGACGACTGCGACAACTTTTCCAAGCTCGTGAAGGCGTTGCAATACATTAACATCGACGCGACAGAACTATTCCGGGTAGTGTCGGGGCTGCTCCATCTCGGCAACATCCAGTTTGACGAGGAAGAGACCGAAGAAGGCATGACGGCAGCGGTTCACCTCGACGACAGAGCAAGCGCTGTTACCGTCGCCGCCGAGATGCTTGGACTCGATCCCGTCAGTCTCTTGAATGCGATCCTAACCAAGAAATTTAGTCGACTGCAAGGACGACCAGGGCTGCAACGCGAAGCGTCGGTGCATTTCAAGAAGAAGGATACGCGCCAAGCCAGCTACTCGCGGGACACAATCGCCAAAGTCATCTACAAGCATGTACGTGTGGCGTCCAGGTCGCGTGCCTGCCGTGAGATGCGATTTTATTTTCATCGTCGCAGGTGTTTGGATCGCTCATGCGGCAATGTGCGGACGCCCTCGAGTATAACCTGGCGCAAAAAGACGAGCTGCCGTACATTGGGGTACTCGATATCTTTGGGTTTGAAGATTTTGAACCGAAGAACCGCAACTCGTTTGAGCAACTTCTCATCAACTACGCCAACGAGTCACTCCAGAGTCTGTTCAACCAGTGCATCCTCAAAGCGGAGCAAGAATTGTACCAAACCGAGCACATTTGGGATCCACACAACGTGTCACTGTTCTTTCCATTCGTCAAAATGAACCACGTCGCAACATCGCCTCGGTACCTCCCAATTGGCAACCACATCCAAGTTGTCATGAGTTTGATGCGCCAGTAGCTTCGTGGCCCGCCAACCGATCGCGTACGATGACAACAATGAGTGCCTAAAGCTCATTGCCGCCAAGAACGAAGGAATGTTTGCCATTATCGACACGGTGGCCAAAGTCGCCGGGCCTACGGATCGCCGCCTCATTGACAACTTTCAAAAATACTTTGCCAAGCATCCATGGTACTGCTTTCTGCGTCTACAACATGTCCTTCACGGTGTGTATTGTGTGGTCCAGCTTTATCCAGCCGCATCCAAAAGATATGCAGCATACGTTTTGCATTCGACACTACGCAGGCGTCGTCCGCTATCGCATTGATTCGTTCTTGGACAAAAACAGCAACCTCACGTCCGGCCAGTTTGACGATCTGCTCAAGTCGTCAACCGTCACCATCCTGCGCAGCACGTCGGCCGCGACAGAATTGCCGCTTATCGACCCCACGACGGCACGACCGCAATATCTTGCCGCTGCCAAGACATCCGGAAGCGTCTCCCAGTTGTTTTCCGTTCAAATGCGAACCCTAACGAACGAATTGATGGCGACTCGAAGCAACTTTATTCGATGTATCAAGCCAAACGCTGCGATGGACGCGACGGTCTTCACGCGCACCAGTGTGCTGGAGCAGCTCCGGTGTTCTGGCACAATTCAAGCATGCCAAGTGCTGCAAGTCGGGCTGCCAACGCGTGTGGCGTATTTGGATATTGCCGCCACGTACACAGCCGTCCTAGGAGCCGACTTTATGTTTCAATACTACGCCAACGATCGGCTGTTCACGCAAGCCCTTTGCAGCGTGCTCGAGTTCCCAGCGGACTCGTATCGCCTGGGAGACTCTCGCCTCTTTTTCAAGACAGGTACACGGTGTGTGATCTGACCTCGCCTCGCTCATCCTCTACGCTGGAACGCGCAGGAAAGATCCACTTGCTGGACAAGTTGCTGAATGTGGCCCCGACCATGACCGTGGAGGAGCTCAAGGCGCGGCTAACACACTACCTCGTCAAGCGTCGGTGGATCTCGGCGGCGACTAAGGTTGTCGTGCTTCGGCATGTTCAAGCGCATTATGCTGCTGTCCGACGCAAGCACCACGCCGTTGTCCTTCAATGCTGGTTTCGGCAGTGTATAGCGAGGCGACAAGTGGCAAGATTGCGCAAGCAGCGACGAGTGGCAATGTTGTGGGGTCGGTTTGCGTCCAAGTGTGGCGTGCAGCGGGCCTTCCATGGCGTCCCAGAAGACAAGTTCACGTTGTTGCAGGCATTGCTTCGACAGCGCGTGCTGCCGTCGCGTTGTAAGTGGCTCTTGAATTGGCTCGGGCCACTGCAGCGGGCCATGTATGTTCAGAAACTGGGCAAGGCGGCATGCATGGCCTATTTGGCGAAGCGTGCCTTCCTTTCGTTGTTCGAAATCGTACGCGAACGCCGCGCGTGTGTAAAGATCCAGGCGCAGGTAATGGAGGCGCTTCCAATTATTCACGTGCTCATGAGGTTGACAAGGTTCGTCGAGCGGCGGCAACCGCGGTCGTGGACTCCATGCGTAAGCAGAAAAAGGCGCAAGAGCATTGGCGGCGCATTCGAATTCGCGTAAAAGCCACAATTTGGTTCTTTGCCATGTTTCGTCGAGCTCACGTGGTGTGTCTTGAACATGACAATTCCCGTCTGAAGCGGGAAAACGACGAGTTGCGAGCCAAAAATGCCGTCTTGGAGGCCCAGCTCCAAAGTTCCTCGTCGACCGCAACGCAAGACGAAAATGTTTGCGACTTGGAGCGCCAGCTCCTCCTGTTACAGCATAAGTTGGACGAGGTAAGCAGCTGGACCAAGGAACTGTGGTGAGGGTGGTGTACTCTAGGCGATGCGCTTGAATTCGTTGACTCCAACGTCGAGCGGTTCCAGCAGCACTCGCCGTAACTCCCCGACGCCCACGGTGCATTGGGATGGCTTATTGACGGAGAGAGTTTAATGATTCTCGCTTAGGAGTGGACGTCGGCGAAATCCTTCTCGGAACACATGGGTGGTGGCGAAATGTTCCAATCCTTCAACCCCACATCGCCGTACGCCAAGTCGTTTGCACACCGCAGCAGCAGCACCGCTTTCACAATCCATCGTCGATATGATTCGGACGTGCCGTCGCGATTGCAGCGAGAAGTCGAGCAGCAGCAAGACATCACGAGGAAAATCCGCGAGCTTGTCCGGATCTGTGCCAAAGTGGAGCGGTACGCCATTGCTATACGGGTCCAACGCAAACCATCGGTTCACGTGTAGTCCAGTGAGTCCGCCATGAGGGACGGCTTTCGGTCGAGAGCCGCCGCACCTGTGACAGGTCAGAGGGACAGTTTTCAATGGAGCCCCACGCGTGAGGCCAAAGGGTGGCGCGCTATGCCGCGCAAACCCATTGGACTTGAGGTAAGGCAAAGTTTCAGGAACTAGTGCAGTCTTCGCACGTAAGAACTGTTTGAAAACAACCTGGCGCAGAATATTTTGCAGGTACCGCGTCGAGCGTCGTGGAGCACACCAGAGCTGGTTCATATCACATACTCATTAAATACTACGGCATCACGTGGACTCTATGCCGCATTGCAATTGACAGCACTTTCGACCGTATTCACGTATTGTCGTTTCGTGGACTGGCCGACGTCTCGGTACGTCAGCAAGTCGTCGAACGTGTTCTTGCGTTTCAAGGTCGGCGTGAAGACATCGCTGGTCAGCTGGATGAGCTCCATCAAACTCAGCCACAACTTGCGGCTTCGCACGATGTTGGTCATGCACTGCCGTGTCACGTACGCGCCAAATTGCGATGAGACGGATAGGAGACGCCACGCCGGCATGACAAACGTGTCGATGAACCCCAAGTGCATCTTGGCCTCTTCGTAGCTGTAAAGATCCGCCTTCATGAACCCGCTAATGGGCAGCTGCAGGCGTTCTTCTTCGTCCACTTGCATACAGAACTCGCGCAGGACAGAGTGTGACCACCACTTGGCAAGGTCGAGGCTTTTGGTGGCGTTGGATATGTCCGCACAATGCAAGATCATCTTGGCTTGAGTCAGTGGATCGTCTTTGTCGTCAGCGTAGGCCTGAATGACCTGAGGATGTAGCGCCATGTCGGTGGCCAGGATCAATTCCTCGATCATGACTCGGACGGAATCGGCATCCGCGGTGTCCAGATTGTCGAACATACGTTCCTTCGTCATGGTGTCGACGGCGACGCACGCATGCATTGCTTCCAGTACTGACCCCTTGTGGGATGCGTACTCTTGAGCCCACGCGGATTTAGTTGTCTCGTGGAAAGAGCTTGTTCGTCCATTGTGCTGAATGTCGTGGCAGAGAGCCGCCAAGAGCAAGGCGGCGACTTGGAGGGGCGTGAACGGGTTTCGGATGCAGCTTTGAAGGAGCAGGTGTGTCGTATGCATGACGCAAAACGCGTGTTTGAAGTTGTGGTATGGCACGGCTTGGTACATCGACGCAACGTGTGCGCAAAAGGCGTGGGCGGTATTGTTGTCGAGGTGGAGGAACTCGGTGGTTCCAGACTCGACCAGGATTTGCACGGCCATCGACACTAGGTCAGCTGTGCTGTGTATCCTTGGGTCAATCTCCACGTCTAAATTCCATGTCGGTTGCGCGCTCCCCATCGGTCGATTCGTCGGCGCTGCTGCTGCAGGGTGAATCACGGACTGATCCGTCCGGCCGGCACCATCGCGCTGTAGGTCGCATGCCGTGGATTTAAAACATCTCTCAAGATTTAGGTTTTTGTATAGAATTAAATTGGCGATGGCTCTTGGCATGTGAACTGTCGCATTCTTTAAGTGTCACAACTTTACTGTTGACGCGTGGGCCAAAGTTGTGTGGGACAAACAAGGCGACGTATCGCAGCTTTCGTGGGGTGCGACGAGCGCGGCCGGTCCTTGCCGTCAAGACGGCCGTACCCGAGGAGCCTCAGTGCCTCTGACCGCACAAGACCAAGCCACATACAACGACGAGTGTAAGGGAGTAGGTGGAGGTGTTCGGGCCGTCCACTGGGCACCTCATGTCCCAGATGCCTACTATCCTTATTCCGACTTGAATTTTGAAGCTCGGTCCTATTCGTGTCGTGGAAGTTCTGACCACGAGCACATTCAGCGTCTTGGAAGACGCTTTTGTACCCGAAGCCTTGCAGTGGCTTGCCCTGGCGGCGGAGAGTTGAGTTGCTGTATTCTCCCATGGCACTTTCTAAACTCCCTTTAGCGCTCACACCCACTCAGGCATTTTATGAGCTTGCGAAGCGGCCTGTTGTCGCAGCCAGCATGAAACCCTTAACCGCGCGTGTCGCCCAACCGCGACGAAACAACGACGAAACCGATTCCACGCAATACTTTCTCCAGCAACCCTTCCGGCGCGTTGTAGAAACACCAGCGAAGCTCACGCTTCGTGCGCGCAGCATTCAAAACTGGTCTGGCTTCGTTTGTCGGGGTTTCAAGCTCTATGTACAATTGCATCCATTTCTTGGGTGGGCATGTCTTCACATTACCACAAATATAAACCAAAAATCTCTATAACCCAGTTTGATCATCGCATAGAAATATAGGAAGTTGAGTAGACGAAGTCCACAATGTTCATCGTTTTCGCCCGTCTCTCTTGGCATTGGCCACTTTGGACTCTGGATGCAGGGCCATGAACTTGTACTGCTGCGTAGTATAGTTGAAGTGTACCTTCAACCAATTCGTCATGGGGTCATGAGAAATGTGGATGTTGACTTAAATATACACACCCACCAAGTGAAACCGGATAGAAGGATTACCACGGACGGGTGTGCATGTGAGACACATCTCCACGCAAGTCGAGTCGGCAAGGTAGGCAATGTCTCCGGCCGCTTACGTGTCACAAGGGACCGAACTCGCTTTCTCGACCCTTCCATATTCCATCGAGTGGGCGCGCGGCGTGTGCTGCTGGGCAACGGGGGTCGAAAATTTCGAGCCATTCCCCGTTTGGCCCAAGTCTGGGCCAAAAGGACCAAGCGGTGGTTGTTCGATGTGTATAAAAATGATACCCGAATGGGACAAACTGCCAAGCCACCGCGCCGTTGTTGCATGGCCTTACCACGCCACGACTTTGCCCAGCAGCGAATTACCTCGGGAGGACGACGAGAGGGGCCTTTATCCCTCCCTACCTTTTCGAAGTAAGCCGCTGCGAATATCAGCGGGAATCCTTGCGATTTCCTGGAAGTGGTCAGCTTGGCCAAACACTGGAAACTTAATATAAACATTATAAAATAGCACCAAGTTTCACGTCGAGTTCTTATGGTTCGGTCGACTCGACAGGTATCACAGCCATGCTAAGCTATACTTACCGAGACGTTCCACATGCCGTATTCAAGGCCGTCGAAGGCACCGCCGGGCGGGCTGCTGTTGTACCGGCGCTGTGGAGAAAGCGTGTGAATGGCTGAATGGATCGACTTATCCAATCATTGAATGTGATACTGTTTTTTATTGTCCAATCAATCTACTCGATGAAAGCATTAGAAAAGAGGATTTTCAATCGTTTGTACCGTATTCTTCTTCAGAGAGCATCGACGACTTTTTGCCACTGACAAATCCTTGTGAATCTTATGACCTTCGACATTCAATATTTCATTGCCCTTAGTGGTATATTTTAGTACAGTAATGAATCAATTTTTGACATTATCGGGGCCACTGGACTGATTCAAAAATATCAGTACTACAGTAGTACTCTCAAGTCATTGTTGGGGATGGTATTGCCCATACAATATTCACTATTCTGTGTACCAAGGAAGGCAATGTATTTCAAAGTTGGTCGCCATCCTGACACCTGAAGATTGATTGGCATGCAGTATTAGAACAATGTCCAGCCGTGAGTGTCGCTGTTTCCGCCATCGTCTCTATGAACGCCGCCGTCTCCGTCGCGGCTGTGCTCGCAGTCGTGGTGTTCGCAAGTCGACAACACACAACAACAAATCCTACAGTTTTCGACGCAATATTGGTGTTTTGCAATACTTCAAGGGAGTCGCAGCATGGCTCAGACAAGAAAGGTGCTCTACCCCGAGCTTATGATGAGCCTCGACCGCGAATTATGCGAAGAATGCGGTGAAGACGTTCTACTTCGAAGTAGAAAGCGCAGGTTGAATATATAGTGTTGCCACGTAATGGAAACCTCAGTTTCATTTTTCTCTACTTTAATCTACCGGTATGCATTTTCCGTCCAAATTCCATACAATATCAAAATCCGGATAAAAATCGCATATCCGTCAAGTTGGGTGTTGCTGCAGTGACTACGTAGTGATTGGGACAAACTGGCTGGCTAGGGATTATGGTGTCTCTCGCGACAGCCCGCGATGACGCTTCCGTCGACGAACAGGTACCACCCAATCGAGGTCGGTTGCATAATGCCCCCGGTTGCAATGACAGGTCAGTCCTTGTCATGGTCGCACCAGTCACCTCCACAATTTGCCTCACCAGTACGCAGCCGCAACCCAACGCCACATGGGGCGCGTGCTATCCACCGCGACAAATTGTTCTTAATTGTCCGCACTACCGAGTACAGTTGCCAAGCGCAGGAGTCGTACAGTGTGTACTGTACTTGTTGCAACGTCGGCCAATACAGTGGTCTGATGGTGCACGATGGGCAAACTTGATTGGCTTGTATTGAGTATTGAGAGCCGTTTAAATAATCGATTGGGCAAAATGGGACAAACCTTTATCCGTGTGCCACGTACATTTTGTGGAATTGCGTGGGAGGCAGACATCCTCGCCGCCTCGACCGACCGCAAGATTGCTGCCGCCACGTCTCCGCCATGCGTTGTATTAGCTGTAAGAAGGAAGGAGCTTCCAAGCAATGCAGTCGTTGTGGAAACGCTTCATACTGCAGTCGAAGCTGCCAGGTTCGTCACTGGCACGCTGGCCACAAAAAGATCTGCACATCTAAGCCCGTTGTGCTGATCCCGCCGGAAGACGGCCTGCCGCCGATGTACCCAGGACCTCCAGGTTGGATGCACCGAGCCGAGTACTACATACAAACGCTTGGGAAGCTTCCGTTTCTCCCCAAACTCGCGAATAAGTATGAGGAGTACCGCGAACGCGAAGCCCGCACACGTTACCTGTACGTCTTCCCCACATCTAATCTTGCACGTTTTCATCGCACCTGCAGGCGCCATTTTTATAAAAAGCAATCGTACGGCCTGAACGGTGCGATTTCGTTCGCGGATCATGTCGAGAATTTCAAATTGATCGGGTTCGACTTGAACGCCAAGTAAGACAAAGTCCATTCCGCGACACAGAAAGCGATTTGCCTCTTTGACTTAGGCGCCCCCTCTCAGTCACAGACAGCGGCATGTGGTCCTTTGTCGAGATCACCACCACAATTGGGGTGCCGCCGCTTGTGCTCAAGAGCCTTCGCCCGACACTGCCGACATTGGTGACTCGTTGCGTCGTGTGCAGATGCGATTGCACGAGCGAGTGCGCGTGTGGCGTCGCGTATTGTTCGCGAGACTGCCAGCGCGCTGATCTCGTCCGGCACAAGCGCCACTGCGAAAAAGTCCACGCCAAGTACGAGTTTGCTCTCGTGCTGACTGCGCGGTACTGGCAGAGCTTTGATACCCACGAACGACCAAGTTTCGATCTGAATTAAGGCAACTGCTGCTCTTCGTTGTTTGTCTCTTTGCGGTATTCGCGGATGATTGCAGGAATAGACGTCGGTGGAATCATGCCAATCTCCGTCACAACCATCGACACGTACTCCATGGGGGTCAAGTCGTAGACCAAGTTGAGTAGCTTGAGGTTGGACAGGTCCCGCCAGTCCGCCAGAACGTGCGAGCTGGACGCTTCTGCTTTCGGGCGGTTCAATCGATGCGTCGTTGTGTCCGTCGCATACGAGTTGACGAGCTCGTCAGGGTCTCGAAGCTCGTTGTGCGTGATCGAATCCAATTGCACGCGATCGGAAAACTACAAAATGCACGCACGTCGTCACTTCCAACACGTCCTACAGTCACGAACCTTGTACGTTTCACAGCAAAACAGGACGGGGACGTTAAACTCTTGTGCCGTCATCGCACATAGCGCCGTGCCAACGCGGGCGACGGCCGCACCGTTGCTCATGATGGCGGTCGCACCCAAAAACACCTTTGTGACTTCCTACGAGAACTCGACCATGACATACCATCGTTTAAGTGTTCGGGAAGGGTTTACCTTCATCACGTACGACAATGCGTTGATTTGCAAGTACGCGCAGGGAACACCGTGCTCGGCGAGCGCCCGCACAAGCTTTTTGCCTTCGAAATGTGGGCGCGAGTCGACGACCAACACGCGAAACTTGGTCTTGCCGTCGTAGGCTTGCTTGAGGAGTACCTCAATGATGTCAGCCCGCGCGTACGTCAAAATCACGTCGCCGTCCACGATCTTCGTGCACGCGTACTTGGCCACGGCGGTCATCGCCATCAGGATGCGATTCTATCTCGACGTGTGAGATAGACATCACGCGGTTAGACAAGCTTGCCTGAATGTACTGGTCGATTTCGTCCAAGACAAACGACTTGGCGTCGTCGTCGCCTTTCGACGGGTCGAGGGTCGCAATCACGTTGCGGACGTACTGCGCAGAAACAAGTCAGCCCTGACGCTGTCAGTCACACAGTGGAAGCAGCGCATCGTACGCGAATTGCGTTGCCCATTCCGATGCTGTGCGGCCGGCAGTCGATGAGAAACTGAATCAGTGGGCGCAACGTCTTGTCCAAATCGCGACGCAGGACTTTGTCCGCTGGCGCATGGTAGTCTTTGATCACTTGCTTAAACGCAGTGAGCATCGCGACACACCGTGCATTTCCCCCGGCGAGTTTTCCTTCCGCATATTTCAGTCCAAGCGACAGAATCGCCGGGTGGATCTCGGCCTGGAAAACGAATCACTTCGATTGTCCAACAACGTCGTGCGGTCGAGAACTGTGCACCTTGGAAAAGCCGACGTTCAATGAGAGCGAGCTCTCGCGCTCGAATTGCGGTAAGTGGGAAAACAGTGCGACCTGAATCATATCGTGTCGCCCTTGCCGTCGCGTAACGGTGGATGTACCTGTTTCTGGGCCTGGGTTCTCTGAATCACCGAACTCTTCGAATATTTCGCCACTTTCTTGGGATCGTCGTACTAAGGTCAGTGCCTCAGATATCACGACTTAAAAATTTTCATGAGAAGAGAGTGCAACCTGCAAGCGAGCAGAAGGCGGCGCGGGGGCGGCAGCAGGTTTTGCTGTCGGCTTGGCCGGAGCTCCTCCAGATTTGGCCAAACGCTGGGCTTCCTGTTGGGCGCGGCGCTCTTCCTTGGTCAATTTCGGTTTTTTCTCAAAAGTTTGGTTTGCGTGTTTTGCCTTTCGAGCCGCTTTTTCTATCCATTGCGCACGTTCGTCACTCCTCATGGCGTAGAGTACGCGATGCAGCGTACCATCCTCTGCCGAGAGGCAAATCTTCTCCATGCCAGCCTATGCAGTCAAGAAATCCACTCGAAAAAGGTCAAGGAAGGGGTTCATGGGTCTACCGCAACGTCTGGCTTCAACTGAGCGGTGGGTGGTGACTTTTTCGCCTTGTTCTTGGCATCTTGTTTGTCGAGCATCTTCTCTGCAAGGCAGCGCTCCATGAATACAACAAGTCCACATGGAAAGACCAGGGTGTGCACGCCGATCTAGGTGATTCCATCTTGATGAAGCACGTACCTAGCTCTTTAAAGTCGCTTGGATCTGACATCCTTCCGTGGGTACTTCGTCCACCGATTGCAAGCAGCAAATTCCAGTGGTGCGAACGCAGAAATACCGGATAAAATGATCGAGGCATCATCCGGAAATGACACGAAATTACAGCCCATACAATATCCAAGATCATTTCTGTTCCCCACGTGACAGTCCCAGCATAGTGAAATCAAGTCATTCAAACCAAAAACGGCTCATTTGGACGCTTCTGGCAATCTTTCCTGTTACTTGGGCCAAGGTGGCAGCGGCGATGAACGCCAGCGAAGAAGAGTGGCGCGAGATGCTGTACAACAGCGTCGAGTGTGAACTGTGCAACGAGCCGTACGCAGAAGCTGAGGACCACACTCCCAGACTACTCAATTGCGGGCACACTTTCTGCCATGTAAGCACGTTGCTGAGGTTTTGATTTGTCGTCTGATGACGTGCGTGCGCTCGCTTTGCTTCGACCTCTCCTGATATATACCTACCAACGCGTCGATATCCCTAGTCTTGCCTCAGTGACTGGGCTAGCAGTGGCAGCAGTAGCAGCTCCGCCCAGAATGCCATCCAATGTCCGAGTTGTCGGCGTGAAACGGTCATTGCACCCGAGGGACTTCCCAAGAATTTTGAAGTTCTTCGCATCAGAGACGAGCTGGAACAGTGGACGTCCGAACGCCTGGCTGCGTTTCGAGCGCAAAGCGAAAAGGTTATTGAGGAAAAGGAGAAAGCGGCCCTTGAAGCGGAACGCGCAGCTCAAATCGCTCAACAAGAGGCTGAAAAGGCCGCCGAGCGAGCGCAATCGTTGCAGCGGCAGGTTGCAAGCAGCACGAGAGAAAAGCAAGAAGCCATCTCTGCGTCCGAGAAAGCCCATGCTCGTGCGATTCAAGCGGTGGTTCGCGCTGAAGAACTTCAAAACGAAACAGAAGTGCTCAAGCGGCAAGTGGAATGGGATGCGATTCAACTGCATCAGATCAAAAAAGACGCAAGCTGCGCTGCGGCCATCGCCGCTGATTTGCAAACCAAAGCCGACGCCTTGCAAGCTCAGGTACATTCAGTCCAATTCCCATGCCACATGCTCGATGCTGACGCTGATGTGGACCTTAGGTCGACCGGGTCAAGTCGCAGCTTTCGTTGCACTCCGGCAAGCACGATCCAACTCGAATGGTCGTGCTGGTGTGTGAGCCCATCACAGTCGGCTCGTGGCTGCTACCGTACACTCGCTACACAGTCGTACGTCTTAGTCTTTGTGGCAATCACTCGTTGGACTGCTGCGCATGGATAGATCTGTATCGCAAACGAGGATGGTCAAATGGACCCGATGCGCGCGGCCAAGGAGTGGGTATGCAAGTCCAACTACCACGTCCCGCAGCTAGCGTCTGTCAAAGTGTACCGTCGATACAGCGACTTTGTTTGGCTGCACGAAACGCTGTGCGACGCGTTTCCTGGACTATTTGTCCCGTTTTTGCCGGAAAAACACTTTTTCAACAACAATTCCGATTTTGTCTCGGACCGCATGAGGTCCCTGCAGGTACACTCCGCCTGCAACCAGTAGTCACTGATTTCACGAACGGCGCAGGCCTTTCTCCGCGAAGTCCTCCGAAGCCCCGACCTTTGTCGCAGCGACGCCACGCGGTCATTCTTGTTGCTGTCGACGGAAGAACTCGAGAAATTCAAAGCCACCACGGAGAAGCTCCCGAATGCCCGAGATGTTGTCGTAGCCAGGGCGAAATCCCCCCCATCGTCAACCCACTCCTCCTCGTGGCTCGCTCCGGCCGCCACCGGTCAGTGGGCTTGGGGCGCCATGTCGAAGCTGACGTCAAAATTGGCGACGAAAGCCGGTCTTCAAAGTGTCGACGAAACTCCGGTTGATAGCGAGCAGGCATGGATGAACTTGCGACGGAAGAGCTATCAGCAATTGTACGTGTGACCGGCGTGTCTCTATGCCTTGTATTCATTGTTGAGGTTGATTGTGCATAGGTGTGCGCTGTACCAGGCGGCGGCGGAGAAAGGGGCAATCGTTCTCAAACTCGAGCGCAAGCAAGCACGCGATTGGATTTTCATGGGCCAAGGCATGGACCAAGTCGCTCAGTTGGACAATCGAAAACCTACTATGTCGGCGGAGATGATGACGTTTGGCATGGCGCTACGAGGGGTTCCGGACGTGACGGAGCATGCCATTCAGGAAACGCTTCGCATGCACGTCCTGCACCTAGGTGCAATTGAACAAGGATTTGTCCGCGTGACTGCCAAAGAAGCCCTCGTCGAAGAACTCCAACAAGCCGTCGACCAAGAGGTTGAAGCGAGTGCGAAAGAATTGATATCGGACCAAGTGCGTGACGAAAAGGCGCGTCTGGAACGTCAGCGAACCAGCATCGCGGACCAGTTGAAACAGTTGGAGCCGCAGCGGTCATTTTTCGTGGCCAAGAGCTTTGTCAAAAGCTGTGAAGACATGCTGCAGCTAGCTACAGAATCGCGGCAGGCGTGGGAAGCGCTGCGTGATCGCTTGCTCCGTGTGGACTGTGCTTGATGTATATATTCATATTTATCCATTTGATTTCGGTTTGGTATATGCGGCATACGAAGGGGCAACCTTTTGCACGTATGTCTTCATGGATGGCAAATCGTACGTCACTTGGTGTTTTCCAAAGCAAAGCTCGTGGCGCGGACGACGCTGAGGTTGCGCCTTGCGTAGGCGGCCGCTCTTTGGGATAGCATTGGTGGATGTCGTGGTGGTCGCGGTGGCCATGGCGACTTCGGTTATGGCGTCCACGAACGTCTGGACGCCATGCTCGACGTCTTCCACTAGAAGCGTCAAGTCATCCACGCGACCTTTCTCGGCATTGTCCAGGTAGTTTTGAAGCTACGGCATCGATCGTAGCATTGACATCATGTTCGTAGCGAGCAGTCGCGACGATAAAGTACCTTAATGCACACTTGTTCGCCAATTGCTGCACGACACCACGTTTAGAGACATCATCGCGATGTACGCACCTGTAATTTCGGCGGCTGTTACTCGGTATGGCGCGGGCGCATCCTGAGGACGACATTGTTCGATATGGTCTTCACGTACAGAGCATCGCAGCCATGCAATTTCTGCAATGTGCCCAATCGTTTGGAGCTGTCGCTGGCACACTTCAATCCTTTCCTACCGCACGAAGCCATGAGATGGAGTAGAACAGTGGGGGTAGAGGGTGAAGGGGGTCACCTGCAGCTGAAATCGCGCCTCAAAAGAATAGTAAACGCTGTCATCCACTTCTTGTGACGGCGGGGCAGCTGGGGGTGTCTCCACTGTCACAGTAAGCGTCGACTGACTGGGGTGCGAGCCGACGTCCTCTGGCGTGGATGGCACCTTGGTTGAAGCCCGTCGAGACTACGAGTGAACTCGATAACGTCATCAACATGCCACAAAATTGGCATACTTTTGGCTTGGGCTTGGCTGGTGGAGGTGCTGCTTTGACTGGGTCGGGGGTTTGGGGCTTGATGGTGGAATTGGCCTTGGACAGCACTTCTGTTTTCTTGGACCGCTTGCGCTGAACCAACAGTTCGTCCTTGTACAACACGAATACGTACTCATGAAGTTCTGCTCGGGAGGTCAACGTTTGTAGTTCCGAATGCAGGAGACCTGTAAGAAAGTCAACATAGGTCTGGACAACTTCACCCTTGGCCCACGTCTCGGCCAACTCGTATATGGAAACGCATAACCGCGTTTTGTCCATGGAGAGGTGGCCACCGCTGTCGCGCTTCCAATCTTCCTACCACGCGACAGTGTTCTCTCGGAAGAAGCAAATATGCGAGGTACCTCTATAAGGTCGTCAATATGCTGGTCTAGAACTGCTTTCTCGCCATAAATGCATGACGTGCCATAGATGAGTCGCTTGTACAAGTTGACATACTCGTCTACGGAATGCAAAGGTATCATCATGCCAGGTCTGGTCTTTGTGCTCAAGCTTCCATACTTCTCTCCAGCGTCCCATTCCCATCCGAGTCCAAAATCACGAGGCAGCTTTTCCACCACTTGTCCAAGATCGCCACCATAGCGGGGTCTTTCAAATTGGCTTCCATGTCGCCATCAGCGTCATCTATCTGTACACGTTAGATTTGTCACAACAATGGGTGAACCCACAGCAATATGGCCTACCTCGACCAACCTCGCCTGCAGCTGCAGTCAAGTCACCCTTGTTCATCGTGTGAATGAGAGAGAACATCGAGTTGTTGGCCTTTGCGTGCAGCTTCGACCCATCATTCGAGGCAGCCATGATCTTCACACACAGTCAGTTTTCCTTGCTATGTCACAAAAACAGTTACAAACAAAACCGAAAGGTCT